CCCCAATCAAGACAAAGCCATGGTGCCGCGCGGCGTATGCTGAGCACTTCCACCGTGGTTGGCATGTCTTACATTGTCTTTCTGACCCAGCGAGGTAAAACAAAAGGGGGTGTGAGCTGAGCGATCCCACTTTGTGTCGCTTGGGACGGGCCGAGCGTCACTTGGGCTTTGGGGCTCTTGAACTTTTCTCCTTATGAGGTATCGGGTCGACTTCTCACAGGGCCAATTACCCTAACACAAGTCCCCCACTTATAATGTTCCGAGCATGCGCGGGACATAAGGAAATATAAATGAGAGCTTATCTTGAACCGAGCGTCTCCGATGCTCCTGGTGTGTCAACTGTTTTAGGCGATTCCAAAGGCGGCTGGATCAACTTCCTGGGTAAATGTATGATGATTACCCGTCTATTGTTCTCCGTGCGACACATGTGTTGGGATACGCTCCTCACCACGTGCCGCCCTATCATTGGTCATCAAGGGTGGAGAAACCTAAAAATATCTGCTTAACCGGCTGGATCGGGGTTTTTCAAATTTCTGCTCACGTTCTCTCTATGCTCTCCAGCTTCTCTCTACCCGGGGTTTTGCCTTCAGTTTTTCGTTCGTCCCTTGAATCAGGTAGTTTTCCTCCCCAACCCCCATCTTCCTTTTTTCCGGTGTCCAATCCTTCGGGCCATGATTCTGATAGTCCCTGTTCCTTGAGATCTAATACAAACTCTAGCCCCTAAGAGGAGTCTCTCGCTACAGTCCAGGAAGATGCCGATGGTTTGGCTGCTCAAGATGATGCCACTCAAGCTCCGTCCGATGATCATGATTCCTGCGGCGAGGCCTTTTCCGGAGATGATTTGGAGGTCTTTGAGGCCATCTGGTTGCGTGATATGTTGCACCATGAGGTGTTCCAGGCCGGGAAACGCTCGGGGCTACGAGCACTTCTTCTCTGATCACTCCATGGATCAGCTCCCAGTTTACCTGTCGTCGCCCGTTGTCTACAGTCTGAGCGGAATGAATCACCCGTTGAAAAGGTGTCTGGGGATGGTTAACCTAGATTCCGTAATAGCCGGTCTGTGATTCATGATCCACCCCTTCTTCATTAAACTATTCCAGTGCTATCAGGTGGTCCCCACTCAGTGCTATCGGGCGATGTATTTATAGTAAGGTGGATTTGAGCATGTCTCTTTTCCATTATTTCTTCAATATCTCCCTTCGGAATTCTTGATCGACAATTAGGAGCCACTCTAGGCGGAGACTCTTTTACGGGGGGGGGGGGGGGATCCTCCATCCACAAGTGGAAACATCAGTTGTTTTTTGTTCGGTTCCCCGAGGCTCAACTACCAACACGCGCGATGGAATGGGTTCCCTCCAAAGGTCAGGGAGTCGCACGTCACTGGGGAGATGGGGGTAGGCTATTAAGAGAGTGCAAGATGGCAGCTTTGAACACTTGTTGCCTTATCTGACCTCCACGGCTCTTGCCGATACGGGAATAGGTACCGCCCATGCTAATGTGCTATTGGATTGTTTCCCCCCGAAATCACACCTAAACCCCTAATGGTCCTTTTCATGTTCAAGGTGAGTGCCTTTTTGTTTTAGGTTCTCCAACACCCTCAGAGATTCAAATGGAGAACGACACACTAAAGTTGGAGGGGGTGGTACGTGCTACAAAGATTATAATCTGCATTTAAGGCTAAAACGTGTGGCTTTGCATTATCTTATTGGATTATAATTTCCTCATTATGTATTATGGCCATTTTTCCTTGATTGTTGGCAATACTATGTTGATTAACATCTCTTTGGACACTTCCTTTGTGATGTTATGTATATGATTTATTTCCATGACTTTTGCATCTCTGTTTTTGCTTCTCCTTTTAGCTGCCACCTTTTCAATAAATGGGAAGATGCTCATTCTACCATACCAAATTACTTCTCCACCGTCTGAAATAAGAGGTCTGCCCACTGCCCATAGGGGCATAACTTAGTTAAGAACCTCTTTCACTTGCATGCTCTCTGTGGTCGTGTAGATCCTGCTCTTCCAAACTCTTGTAGAACCATTGTGAAATTTTAGACATGAAAACTCATTTATCATCAATATATATCACATTTTGAAAAAATGGGAGTTTGAAAAAATGGGAAAAGTTGGCTTAGATGGAACTAGGGGTGGACTGGGACGGGTCGGCCCGACCCGGAACCCGACCCGACTCCCTACTGTGCAGGCCCGGAGCCGACCCGGGTGTAGAAGAGGTTGGCTACGGGATTCGAAGAGAGACCCATAGATCCTAAAGAGCAATAAAACGAGATTAGTAACTTATTTCATCAATTATTTAATGAGTTTCATGCACATTATGTTAACGCACCTCCTTCCCCGAAACCAACTGCTTTTTTATCTAACGGAAAATCATTTTCAAATCTACATTTGGTAATCTTATGGGGAAAAAATCAACTCTCGCTATCGCACAAAGCTCGATTAACGAGCCTTCTTTATATATAACGTTTCCTGTTGAGTATGAAGAAGGGGATACTTTGATGTTCTTAAGTGGTGGAAGGAAAAAGAAGGAATGTTTCCGATTGCATCGAAGATGGCGAAGTAAGTGCTATCAATTCCTATTATAGAACAAAATTGAGCGCACAATCTCTTGAGATGCACATTTACTTTCACCATTGGTTGAAGGCACGACGTAGAATTAAAAAACATCCATCGCCCCCGACCGCCGCTCCATGGAAGAAAGAACAACCAATGCTGGCGGAGATTTCGACTGATTCTTACCAAATGTATTTGATGTTTGAAATTACTTTCAATTATCAATTGTACTTCATATTTCAGTAAATATACATTGATTTTTTTGTGGCACTTGTGGTTTCCTATCCTCCTCCACCCTCTGTCTAGTCTCTTGTTTCTCTGGTTTAGATTCCTTCAGGGCAACCACAATACCTATTTTAACCTTGAAGAATTTGCTTGTAAATATCACTTGGGTCCGGATCGAAGCCCGACCTGGTACCGGTGCATACCCGAGCCGGTAACGGGAATGATATTTTTGGACCCGGACTCCCGGAGACCGTGCAGGCCTGGACCCGACCCAGTCCACCCCTAGATGTAACTATTTGTCAACTTGTCTATAACAGTATATAAGCCTTGTCACTCTCTTTGCACATGTCACGAAAGACTTAATTGTATTTGTGTGGTTTCTAAGCATACCTCTTTGAATCATATTGTGCAAACTTGACTTTGCAAATGAACAGGTTGAAGCTAACGCTCTAATATTAGTCATAGTGGTGGACCCGGTTCGGGCCGCCCGGCCCGGGCCTGGCCCGGCGCGTCACTGTACGGGCCCGGAACCGGCCCGGTTCTCGGGTCCGGGTCCGGGTCCGGTTCGGGCACCGAACCGGTGGGAGTAGCGGGTCCGGGCTCGGGTTCTGTTTTTGGTGGCCCGGCCCGGCCGGGTCGGGCCCGGGCTCGGGCCTAACGGTCATATTTTAAAAAAAAAATCTTTTAATTTTAAAAAACCCATTTTAGCTCAACAGCCACTTCCCAAACGGCTATATAGCCGTTGGGTGGGTACCAGGGGGGGTCCGGGGCCTTTGGGGTGGGGGTGGGGGGGTGGGGGGTGGGGGGGTGGGGGGTGGGGGTTAAAAAAAACCTATAAATACTCCTAATTTTAAACATTTTTTCACACCTCTTCTCCAACTCTCCCTAAATCCTACTCTCTACTCATCTCCAATTCTCCATATTCATCTTCTCAAATTCTATTGTTATGATATTATTCTCCTTTATATTTTATTTTACTATTTAATACTTATACAATTATTATATCTACTTATATATTAATTATCTACTTATAAATACATATACTACATTACTTATATAGTTATATTTCTTATCTACTTAATCTCTACTTATATCTCTTAATACATACATACATACTACATCTACTTAATATATACTTTATATAATAAAGTATTAAATATACTTTATAAACTATTACTCCCTCCGTCCCCCTAAGTTTGGGACGGAGGGGTGTGGTGTGGTTTTTAAGAAAAAGTGGAATTGTGTGGTTGGTATTGAATTGATAAAGTGTAAATAAAATAAGAATGAATTCTAACCACTCAAATGTTACCAAATATGGTATGGGACAAACTTAGTGGGACGGACGAAAAAGGTAAAAAGGGACAAACTTAGGGGGACGGAGGGAGTACTATATACTTAATACATAATAATATCTACTTCTCTACTTTATATCTATTTTATATATACCTATTTTATAATATCTACTTTTATATATACTTTATAATATCTATTTTATATATACTTATTTTCTTATTTTCCAATCTCCAATTCTCCATTATACTCTAATATTTAATTCTTATACAATTATTATATCCACTTAATACATACATTCTACATCTACTTAATATATACTTTATATATTAAAGTATAAAATATAAGTGTATTACTCATCTTATAGTAGTATACTTATATATTATATACTATAAACATTATATTATATATTACTTACTATAACTAGTATATTGTACTAGTTAATTAGTTAATTAGCATTGTTGTTACATTTTTCATTATACTAGTTATTTACTTCATTAGTATTCTCATTAATTGTTAAAACAACTCTACTTCAATAAACTAGTTAATTGTCATTAATTCATTATAGTTAAAGTCACATTTTCTTATTTTCAATTTATATTTGTAGGAAGAAATAGTAGTTCAATCATTTAATTAAAGTACTTAACATTTTATTTAAGTAGTTTTTACTAAATTAAAGTACTTCAAAAGTTGGTATAATTTTAATTTTAAAGTCACACATTAATTCTACTTTGCACTAAATTAGTTTGAAGTATTAATTAAAATAGTTTTAATTAGTTGCATTAGTTTTGTATCCATTATTATATTTGTTGTCAATTAATATTTGTTACATTTTTAAGATGGAAGGTGGTAGATATTCGGTTGATTTGGGTAACCTCCAACGCAAGCGAAGGAACGAGATTGGGAGGAAGAAATCCCGCAAAGGTAAAGAACTTGCCGGTTCTTCATCTCAAAGCCGAGATGATTTTGAAACGGGTTATCAAAGGCGAGATGGAGATGCGATGTCCGAAGAACAACTCCAACAAGAATTGGCCCGACATAATAACCGCTTTCTACAACAACAACAAATGCCGACGACCATTGACGAAGAGGAGCTTGAGGATGAAGATGCGGAGGAATTGGAACCGGAGACGGCCGAGGAGGAGGGTGCCGGCATCCACGACGCCGACGAGCCTGCCTCATCCCAAACCGCCACCGGTAATAAAAAAAGTAAGTCTGAACTAATGAAAAATAATTTTGATAAATGGAAGGACCCACAAACCGGCTATTGGCACGCAACTTGCAAGTGGTGCAACAACAATTATAGTTTGGGAACCTCCGGCGGATACGGATCCGCCGCAAGGCATCTTAAGGCAAAGCACCCCGTGGAGTATGCAAAATTAGGCGCCGGAACGGGGAAGCAAACTCAAATATCGAGGTTTGCGAATTCTCAACCTTTTGGTAATTTCTCCTACAATGATGCACAAAATTTGACTGGTATGGCTAACTTATTTCGTGAAGAAAATTTGCCTTATTTGTTTTCTGAAAGTCTTGCTTTAAGAGATTATGCACAAGGTAGTTTAAATCCTCAATTTAGAAATTATAGTCGCAAAACTGTTAAGAAAGAAATAATAAGGCTTTATAATGCGGAAAAGGCAAGGTTACAAATTTTTTTTGCAAACTTTGATGGGCGTGTTACTATTTGTTCTGACATATGGGAGGATGATTTTCATCATTTATATTATTTGGGTCTCACTGCACATTATATTGATGAGGATTGGAATATGCATAAACGTGTTCTTGCTTTTCGTGAATTTAATGATCGTCACACCGCTGAACATATTTATATTTTGATTGAGCGTATTTTAATTGAGTATAATTTGATTGATAAGGTGTTTGCTATTGGTTTCGATAATGCTACTAATAATACTGCTGCTATACCTAGATTGTGTGAGTTGTGTGGTGTCAATACTTTGATGGATAGATTTTTTCATCAACGGTGTGCATGCCATGTTATAAATTTATGTGTGCAAGACGGTTTAAAAGCGTTAGGAGATTCCATGGAGGTAATCAAGGGGGGAATTAGACGTATTTGGGGTAATGGTCAACTTAGATTAAAATGGCAAACTTATTTGACTGAAAGAGGTGTGAGATATGTTGCTTTTCCTAAATATTTGAGTATTCGTTGGAATAGTACTTATAAATTACTTATAGTTGTTCTTAGATATAAAGAACATTTTCCTGCTTTTTTAAAAGAACATGATAACTATATTATAAACGCGGCTGAGATCGACACTTGCGAAAAAAATTTGTAATGTTTTGATTTTTTTTTATTGCTACTGAAACTTTTAGTCATGTTTATAAACCTACAGCAAACCAATTTATTCGTGAAGCTGTTAATCTCGCCGGTGCTTTTAAAGAATTTGAGAATGCCGTTTTCGTTCATTATTTTTGTGATTATATGAAGGAGAAGTTTTTAAAATATTATCCGCATATTCCCCATATTTATGGTATTGCATTTATTCTCGATCCTCGTTATAGACTTGCTAATTTGGAAGATTGTTTCAACTTCTATTATCTTGCGTTTTTTGGTGAATTTCCAATGTATGACGATAACCCCATAGATCCGAAAACGGAATACAACGAGGTTAGTACTTTATTTTATGCCTTATTTAATGAGTTTCGTGCACAATATAGCAACGCTCCCCCTCCCCCGTCACGAACATCTTCATCTAAAGGAAAATCGATTTTTAAATCTGCATTTGGCAATCTTATGAAAAAAACAAAAACAACTCTCGTCACTGAACAAAGTGCATTGAATGAGATTACTTTGTATTTAACATATGAAGTTGATTTTGAAGAAAATGATGACTTTGACGTTCTAGACTGGTGGAAGTCAAAAGAAAGAACGTTCCCGATTTTAGCACGGATGGCTAAGCAAGTACTATCAATGCCGATTTCAACAGTTGCTGTGGAACAAGAATTTAGTTCGGCCGGCAACGTCCTAACGGCATCTAGATCGAGATTGAGCACGGAGTCTCTTGAGACGCTTATATGCTACCACGATTGGTTGAAGGCCGCACGCAGAACTCAAGAAATGAGCATCACCCCCTCCCAAGATTTTATGGATGACTCAACAACCGATGGTGGCTCTACCTATGCCGGAGATTCCGATTGATTAGTATTTTAGAATTTATTATAAAATGTATTTTATAGCACTTGTCAAATTTATTTATACTTGTACTTCATATTTCAAATAAATATGTGTTCACTTTTTCATATGTAGCACTTCTCAAATTAATTAATTGGTTACAAACTAACGACTTAAAATTATTTTTCTAAAATATAAAGCCGGTTTTTAAATTAAAAATACATTTACAATATGTAATTTGTTTAAATACTTATACACCTATTTTGTAAGATTTGTAAATTATAAATCAAACCACTTTTCTAAGTACAAATAGTTTTAGTTTTACTTAATTCATTAAATTAATTAATTTATTTTACAATATGTATAACTTAAAAAACAAATTTGAAATCAAACCTCCCAAACGGCTATATAGCCGTTGGGGCTATGGGTGGGGGGCAGGGGGGTCCCGGGGGTGGTGGTGTGGGGAGTGGGGTTCAAAAACATATATAAATACATCTATTTTCTAACATTTTTCTACACTTCTTCTCCAATTCTTCTCCAACTCTTCTCCATCTTCATCTTCTCTTATTATCCTACATTCCTACAATCCTACTTATACATATACCATTTTAAATATGGAAAGTACATCTTCCCTTATGCAAAATAATTTTGACAAGTAGAAGGACCCGAAGACCGGACTGTGGTGGGCAACTTGCAGGTGGTGCAAGAAAGAGTGTTGCTTGGGGCGTTCATACGGATACGGCATGCCAATAAAACATATGAAGTCCTGTGACAAAGGGAAAACAACAACCAACGATGGCGGAAATCCCAATTGATATTCATTAGAAAATGTATTTCGTATTGTTATTTTTTTCTCAATTCTCAAATGTAGTTCTTATTTCAAATAAATGCACTTGAACTTTGTTTTTAATAGGAATTTGTATAATATATAATTAATTTAAAAAAAATACTGGCCCGGCCCGGCCCGGCAGGTGGCCCGACCCGTGACCCGGGCGGGTGGCCCGGCCCGAACCGGAAAAATGGCCGGTCCGGTCCCGGGCCTACCATTACCAGACCCGGGGCCCGACCGGGCCTTGACCCGGCCCGGGCCCGACCCGGCCGGGGTCCATCACTTATTTAGTCATGATCAGCGAGATTTCAAAAATGTTGTTTAGATCCATTTGAATCCATTTCTTGCTTGAATTTTCGGCCCAAATGCTTCTTACATCCACTCTATCCCCTTCTCCAAGTTGCTTTTTAGCAGTGGCCAAGATCCTAAAAATGTATCTTCTGGAAATTTAAATTTCCGCAGCAAGTTTAGAAAAACATGTCTGAGCAACATCTATTTTAGAACTTATGATTTCATCAACTATGCTCTCTTTACACGTCAGATAACCTCTTACTTTTCGCATTTATGTCTTCCTGTTGTGCAAATTTGTTGGTGAAGAAGAAGAAGAAGAAATGAAGGTGTTTATGGAGGATGAAGAGAGAACGATTAGGGAAGATATAGAGGGAGCACTTATGGAAGCTACTATTGTCATTAATTGTATGTGTGCGTGTAGTGCTACTTCTATAATATGAGGACAGAATGAGGCATTCAAATGTATTTATAGAAACTCCCTCTAAAACTATGAGGAAAGGTGTAATCACCACCACATTAGAAATTTGATGTTGTGGCTCCACTATGTCCTGTTAAGTGTTAAGGGGGCATTTATATGTGGAATAATCGGAATAGGCGATACCAGATTAGGAGCCAACAGGCAACAACTACTTGAAAAATTCAACATTTTCAAATCAGAAATGGGCCAAATAACAAAACAATATTGCCAATGGGACCAGAACTGGACGGGAGTTGGCTGGTCAATTTTCAAGGAACCAGAACCAGAACCAGAACCGTTCGCCCATTCCCACGTTCAGAATCATCCAACATTCTGCAGTCCAGGTTGTAAGCCCACCTAGTTCCTGTCCAGTCCAAAACCAGGTCCAACCTATCGCAGACCATAGGGAACAGACTGTTGTCTTCACTTAGGAGAGACATATACGCAGAAAAAGGTTTTATGACCATGCTCCAGAAATTGTCTAAGCTGTATGCGTGTGCCCTAATCAATAAATGCAATGCAATGATTCAAGAAATTCATCTCAACTTACACTTTATCAGTTTAAAAGCAAATCAAATCAAACCCGATTTAATTTAAAAAAGAAAGGACGCAACATGATGTGAAGCTTTTCTATCAAGCCAAATAATGATACAACTTCCTATCAGTTTTATCTCTTTCTAAAAACTCCCGCTCAATAAGAGACTCAATCCGTTTCTTTATTACCACAGGATTTGGCAGGAACCGTGACTGCAACTGCTTTGTCACCTCCGCAACAACATTGTTATGATCCAGCACCCTGCGCGATTTCATAATCCTCACAATTGCTGCCTCTATTTGTGGTTTCCTGTCCTCCTCCACCCGCTGTCTAGTCTCTTGTTTCTCCGGTTCAGATTCCTTCTGGGCAACCACAGTACCTATTTTAACCTTAAAAAATTTGCTTGTGAATTTGTCATTGAAGAAAAACAAATCATCTTCAGCAATTTCTTTACTCATTGGCTCCTTGCGGAGAACATTCTTCCCCTTGACACAAGCAAGCGACTGCAAACACCTCTTAAGATCTGACAAGGGAATCTCTGTTGCCTGTTCGATGTCTTTATAACTCAACATGTCAGAATTGTTAAAGAGCATGAGGATGCACATCTGGTATGTGGAAACATTAAGCTCGTGCTTCTGTCCTTTCCCAAAGGTCGCCTTAATGTCAGCGGTTCCCATGTTTGTCTGCCATGTCAGCCTCCTTCCGGTGTGGGTCCCAAGGTAGTAGGACTTGAACTTTTCACACACCCCGAGAATCTCTGTGGGGAGGTTGCACGGGGTGACTGATTGTGTGGGCCAGGATCCGGTGGTGAGGACCTGGACAGCAAGTGTGGGGGAATCAGACAGTTCAGCTGGACCCACAGCTGCATAGAAGCCCTGCATGGTGTCCTGTGATGTCTTCATGTCGGTGAACATGCCTTCCAGTTTTGATGTGAACTGATACCCACACTCTGTTTTGAGCTTAACTATCAAACTTCTCTCGGCATCATCGGAGACAGTCTTCCCAGAAAGGAGCCGTTTGGCAAGGTGCTGTTTATAGTACTTCTCAAAAACATCCTTCTCCTGAAGGTACCGGAAAAGCGTCATAACTTTGTCCAATAGAATCTCAACATCCTCCTCGCTAACCCCTTTCAACCCTTTCCTGAGATTGTCATCCACGAACAAAGAGATGAACTCGGGAGATCGGGGATTCAAGTTGATGAAATACTCAAACGAGGAGTTAAGGGCATTCTGGAACATCTTATCATTGTTAAAGGCCTTGTTTATAATCCTATCGTGTTTATCCTTCTCGTCCAATAGCCTTTGAACAAAATCAACAGGATCCTTTGACTTTTCTGGATCGGTGACAAGTTGCTTCCCGATTTCTCGGACGTGTGAAGTCATTACATCTTTTAGTAGTGACAGTCCATTTGATACTCTTCTGAACAGATTGTACATCCTTCCCAAATCATCATACTTATCATCAAGAATCAAATTCACTAATCCTGAATTTTCCATGTGGACTAACCTCTGCATATGGCTTTCGACCATCTCCCTCTCCACAACAGCAGTGATTTTCGCCTCACTTCTTGGATCCAAGTAATGAGACGCCCTCTCAATCTCTTCATTGAGCCTTTTCTCGGCCTTCTTCAAATACTGCCCACAGTCACATGACTCTATGAAACCCTGAGACTCAGCCTGGTAAAAATCGGCCGAGACCTCAAGGAAAGGAATCTCAAAGTTGTTTTCATAAACAGAAATACCTAAATCTGTTAGCATTTTAGTAATATTCCTCATTAAGCTCCTATTTATCACTTCCCCAGTCCTCTCTTGTTCCACGAGTTTGAGAAGTGTGTCCCGAAGCCTTGTTTGGATTTTGACAGAGTGAATAACATTGTCTCTCCATAAATTCAGTCCGAGCTCATAAACCGGTGTTTTGTGTGTATTAGGAATGAATGTCCTGTCCATATACATTAGTATGTCACGGATCATTTGCAGTGCCTTGTTATGGTCATCCCACTTTCGGTTGAGCTCTTCCAGAAACAATCCTCCCTGGGCAGCCTCTATTGACTTCGAAATCTCTTTCAAATGTACAGTCAAAGTCAACACGAGGCCAGAGTAGAGCGTTTCTCCAAATTTGTGTAGAACCATGTTGTATGCATTCCTGAAAACACCACATATCAAGGGTGTGTTTGGATCAAGGAAGGGAAAAAAGAAATTGCTCAGGGAAGTAACTTTCTTGTGTTTCAATTTACCACATACGCAAAGAAAAATATAATATGATTAATCATTTAAAAACATGTTTCACATGTTTAAATTTTTTAGCCTTTATATGATGTAAATAGATAAAAAAAAATGAGTTTAAACTTTGAGCCAATATAACAAAATGTGGAACTTAAACAAATTCAATATTTTCTCTCACATTTTCTTAACTTTCAAATTTCCCTTTTATGATCCTCTCTATTTTCTTTCCCCCGCAATTTCCATGTTCCAACTTACATACCATAAGAGCGAAGTGAAGCAGAAAAACAAGTTAATAACTCCACATTCAAGAAGTGCAATAAAAATTTATTATTGCAAAACATGGAGTTTTCTCAACCATAAAGCATTGAAGATTGAAACACATAAAGGCAAATAATAGTAATGCCTACCAGGAGTCCATGATAACTCAATTATACACGTGCTAAGATGCCCTATTCTTTAGTATAATAAACCTCAATGATCAAAGGAACTGCGAGTCATGCAGTCACAAGATAAAAGTTATGAACAGTACTGGCCCTAAAACATGAGATCA